TTAGACAAGTCTTTCTGAAAGCAATTAATTGACAGAAAAGCTTTATTGGGATGCTCTCTAGCATATAGGAGAAGATGAACATGAGCAAACTTCCTCATTGTTTTCTCAATTCATGTCCAAGTTCACAAGTCCTTGTTATCATATTGAACTATTGAATTTTAAGTTTTTAATGCATTTCGTTCAAGTTTGGATTTAATTCATTTGAGCTCCTTGCACATTTTTAGTCCAAGTTCAAAGGTCCCCTGTTGTCCTTGCAAGTTCAAGTCCCAAATGCTTGCAAAATCAAGTTCATGTTCAAGTTCAGTTCATGTCCAATACATTTAGTTCACTTGAATCTGAGTTCTCTTGCATTTATTCTTTTGAGTTCAATCAAGTTCTCATTCCTCACAATATCACTTGATTAAGTATTAAGTTAAGCTTGATTTTGTCTCAAATTATGCCCAAGTTAGGTTCATTCGAGTCCCAAATAAAGTCCACTGTAGTCTTGTTGAGTTCCAATGAGAGTTCGATGTGCAAGTTCAAGTCCGAGTCCACCATTGTTCTTTTGAGTTCAAATGAGGTCCAAGTGTAGCATTGTGTTCACCCGAAATTTCGGCAGCCTCCCGGCGTCTCCCCCGTTTAGGGGAAAACTACGGAAAAACTGGGCCTATCCCACCACGCTAAGAAAAGCGTGTATGGTAGATGCCCTCTTTCGAGGACACCGCGGCCGTGTATTTTTCGATCCCCCACCACGCTAAGAAAAGCGTGTATGGGTATTTTGCAAAAAAATATTTTTTTTTTGAAAATATTTTACAAAAAAATAGTTATTTCCCCGCAAGCGGGTACTTATGGGTATCCCTCCTTCGTCGTACGCGTCGCACCGGGTTCCCTTCCCACCACGCTAAGAAAAGCGTGTATAGGCGGTTTTCCGGTACGCTACGAACTCCGAAGAAGAGATTTGGAACCGAGGATTGCTCGCCTACCTTGTCGTGGGTGTCGCGCCGGTTGCCCCTCCCACCACGCTAAAAAAAGCGTGTATAGGCAGACCACCGACTCGACACGCATGCCGAGGTAAGAGAGCAAATAAGGGTTCGAAAATCAGGACAAAAAAACTTCTTTTCTTTCTCCTTTTTTTTCTCTTTTCTTCTCTTTTTTTTGGAGAAATCTTTCCTTTTTTTTTTTATTCTTTTTCCCAATTCCTTGCTGAAGCATGCATGTTAGAAACCGATGAATAGACACCAAAATCACGTGGATTCAACTTGTGTATATTTCTTCAGCACATATTCACTTAGTTCTAGACTCTTCTGGATATGACAACTTAAAAGAAGAGCAGCTCATATTGCAATTCCTGACTTGATTTTCATTGCCTGGATCAGATCGAAAGCTCCCTCAACATGGCCAGCTCATGCTAATAGATCCACCATGCATGCATAGTGCATTTCCCCAGGTTCGACTCTAAAGTCAATCTTCACGCAATTGAACCACCGACGCCCTTCATTCACAAGTAAAGAGTGGCATTATCATGAATGCCATAACAGGTCTCCTGAACTCAAACAATCAAGTCTCCTGAACTCAACCAACATCAACAGTGCTTAGTCAGCAAACCCATTCTGAGCACGAGCAAAGATCATAATACAACATTCTTATTTTGCATCCTCTCAAAGACAACATTGCAAAGGCTCAGGTACCCGCATGAGCAAGGAGGTGTTTCTCTGTGAATTCTTTGAAAAAAATGCTCATCTAGATCTCCATTATTAAGCAATAAAGAGTCACCTCCAAAAAGAACATGAAAACCCAATCTGTAGCTACAAAGGATTATAGCTAGTAAGTACTTAACCTGATTGCCTTGTCTCTGACAGCTAGATCAGTGACTAGCTGTGGTTTTATCTTCAATCTCTTTTCCTCAATATCCTTGTAAACCTTGCAAAGCAACTTCTTCAGCAAAGTCATTAGCTTCATTAGCAACACCGATGGATCACTTATAGAAATATCGTTGAGTATGAGGTGGCTATTATTAGTGGTCTCCACTTTTTCAATATCTTCCCGGAGAGATCAGATTGGAGCTATTTTGAATAGATATATAATTTCTGAAGTGAAGAGAAGTTTTCAAGGAGGAAAGGAGAGACTAAAGATTTGAGTGTGGCTTGGAGGTCAAAGTGGAGAAGAGGTTCAGGCTGCTAGGCTCTGATCGGGGGAGTAAGTGGCAGCAGGAGCTCGTGAGGTTGGAGATTTCAGCCATGTGTGCGTCGCAGCAGGGAAGGGAAGTAGGAAGTTGTGGTTTTAGTGTGGATTTTGTAGGGCAGAGCAAGACTTTGGGTGTCTTCGTCGATCAGGAAAGGAGCTTGGCGTGATGGAGGACTGAGATTTGGATGAGTGGAGGGCTTGAAGCTTTACTTGCTGGAGGAGGAAGACAGTGGGGCGTTTGTAGAGACGTGAGGAGAAGAAGGCTGCGAATAGGAAGCTTGACGCCTGGTTATTTGCGGCAAGAGAAGTGTTTGGTCTTGAAGTGGAACTTGCAGCTTGATTGGAAGGTCTTCACCTGATCAAGGCCCTTGGACGGAGGTTGCAGTGGCTCGTCTGCTTGTGAAGTTGTGATGAGGAAGCTTTGGTTTTGAACATAGGAGGTGATTCATGAAGCTTGCTCACGAGAGAGGAGGGAGGCGGGTAGAGGCGCAACTGCAGGTAGTTTGGTCGGACAAGAGGAGCCAAACCAACTGAAGCCCATTTGGCTTCATTTTAACGTTGAGAAAGCCTCATCTCAAACAGGATTTTAGCAGATTTTGCGGGATACATGACAGCCATCATACATCCGAGGTTTTCAATCCGGGATTACAGGGATTTAGCAGAGTTTTGATACATACGAGGTTTTGGAATTAATGCGATTTGAGATATCTTTTGATCTTTGATCTTGTTAGATTTCATAATAATATTAAATAATAAAATATTATTATTAAATTTATTAACAAATCAGAATGGTGAGAGCGTAATAATTGCTTCCAAAAAGGTCTTGATTAAGGTGCATTCGTCTCGAAATACGTGCAATTCCCTCGTTTAACGTGTAAATTTCGTCGAATATCAAAATTGGATAAATTGATAATGCATTAACGGTATTGCTGATGTTCCGATCGCAACGATGCAGTCTGTTTCGTGATCGGACTTCATTTGAGCGTCGACGAGGCCTCATCTTTATCGAAATGCATATTGTTGTATTTGAATCATCTCAGAATTTGTGCCACCAACTCGAACAATCCAAATTGATAAAAAAAATATATATTTTCTTAATGTTGACGACGTTCCGGACACAACGACGCCATCCGTTTTGCAATCGGACATCATTTCGTCACTGACAAGGCTAATTTCCCTTGTAACGCGTGCCTTTGCATCATATTTGGATCCCTTTGAAATTTGCGACAATATGTCAAACGATCCAATTTGGTCGAATAAAATATAAATTCTTAACGGATACAATGTTTCGGATGCAATGGCGTTTTCCGTTTGTCGATCGGATGTTATTTCGTTACTGACGAGGCTAATTTCTCTCGTAGTGCGTGCCTTCGCATCAAATTTAGATCGCCTTTGAAATTTGCAACACCACATCAAACAATCCAATTTGATCGAATAAAATGTAGATTCTTAATGGAGACGATGTTTCGGACGCAATGACATTGTCCGTTTATCGATCGGACGTCGTCGGAGCGTCTTCGAGGCCTCGTTTCTGTCGTAACGCAGGCCTTTATAGCATATTTGCATCGCCTAAAAATTCACCACCATCTCAGATGATCCAAATTTATTAAATAAAATGTATATCCTGAATGTCGACAACATTTCGGACATAATGACACTGTCCGTTTGTCGATCGGACGTCGTCCGAGCATCTTCGAGGCCTCATTTCCATCGTAACGCAGACTTTTATATCATATTTGAATTGCATGGAAATTTGCCACCATTTCAGACGATCCATATTCATTAAATAAAATATATATTCTGAATGTAGACGACATTCCGGACACAATGACACTGTCTGTTTGTCGATCTGAAATCGTTTGGGCGACATCGAGGGCCAAATTCCTCGATATGCGTGTTATTACCTTGGGATCCGCGACACCATTACGATTGATCCCAATTAATCACAAAAGATGTATATTTTGAATGTCGATAATGTTCCGGACGCAATGGCATAGTACGTTTCATGATCGGACGTCATTTGAGTAACGTCGAGGCCTGATTTCCTCGAAATACGCGTTGTCTTGAAATTCATGTCACTAATTAGGATGATCCAAATTGAACAAACAAAATATAGTTTTTGAGTATTTGCAATGTTCTGAACACAATGATGAAGTCTGTTTGTTGATACGACATCGTTTGATCAGCCTCGCTGTATGCATGCTTTGTTGATGATATTCAAAATGTATTAAATGATTTTGATTGGTGCAATACTTGACTAAAATTAGACTTTAAATAGGGCTTGTTTAAGTCGTCCAATCATCATTGTTGTGATGAATGGTTGAATTATGATGGAAATTTATGAAACTAAGTATATAAGTTTCAATAAATAGATCATGGTGTGGGTGCCAACTAGCTTAGTTCATAAAAACCTTGAAGGTTGTTGCCTTGTCCTTGGGTTCAAATCACTTCTCCATCAAATTTATGCTCCGGCACTTAAATTTCTCCAAAAAATAAAAAATAGATTGCTATCATTATTGTGATCTTAAGTTTGAAGATATATTATACAAAATAGGAGAGATAAAAATGTAAAATTATAAGGCAAATGATTATTATTATCATGGGAGAAAAGTTTTATATATATATAGTTTTTGTATTTTAGCTACTTTAAATTTTATTCATTTAAAATTTGAAATTGATAGTGAAAGATAAGTATGAATAACTAATTCCTTGTAAATAGATATCTGTCTGACTTATATATATCTAAAAGACAAAAAATTCCTAAAAGATATATTTTCTCTACTTTAAATCTTATCCATTATAATTTTTGTATTTTAGCTGCTTTATTTTTATTTATTTAAAATTTGAAATGGATAGTGAAAGATAAATAAGTATGAACAACTCATTTATTCCCTCTAAATAGATAGTTCTCTAACTTAATATTTCTAAAGACAAAAATTACCTAAAAGTTATCTTTTATATATAAAGGATATATTTATATTAATTTATGCCATGCAATTCAAAACTTTGCATGCTTGCCTACGTGAAATAATAAGCAGCAGTTGAGCTTTTTGTCTCCCAAACTGATGATCAGAACTTTATGCTGAATTTCTCATCCATGTTGATCTGCAGTTGTCATTATTCACCTCTTCTAGGTTAATATAGTATTTGAATTGGACTAGTGCACTAATTGTCCAAGTTAGCTATATGCTCTTTTATTCTATTTCAGTACATTTCTCAACTCGTCTGACGCCATGTTTTATCTGAAGGGGTGGCTTGCTGTTCTGGGCTGATACGCTTGGATCTATTTATATTTTTTCAAAGCTCAAAAAATGGGCAAATGCATATGGTGGTCTATTTGCACCATCCCCATACTTGGAAGAAAGAGCTAAGAAAGGATTACCACTGGTACTACGTTATGCCATCTCCTACTCTCGAGTTTATTATGGTTTGCTATTCAATTTTCGATTAATGATGTGAGAAAATGCTCGGAATGAAGAAAATTAAAATGGAACTGAAACTATCATCTGATTTGAAAGTATTTCCATAATATTTTATTTTAAATTGCACAACATTCTAGATATCCAAGCCAGAACCAAATTTCATATGGCTAATTGCTTTTTTTTTATTCAGTCTCTATATGCATATAAACTGCGTAGATTTTCCCACATTATTGGCAATCGCCTAAGTTTTTGTACTGCATATTTATCTTATGGCTGGGATAAGGCTACTGGTATATTATATATCATGATTGCATTATTAAACTGTGATTTTACTTGGTATTGCATGGTTTGCATGCAATGTGATTATCAGAAAAACAAAATTTCTAACTTAGAACTATGAATACTCCAACAATGACTCCCTTATTAATGAAAGAAGGTTGGTGGATTCTTTGATATTTTGGACAGATCAGTTTTTTTTTCTTTTTTATCGCTAAAGACATTATAGATAGATTTAACATAACCTGTTATCCAATTTACTTTTCATATCATAGATATAGCTACATTAAGAAATAGCTAATTTAGTATCCTGGATACGTACTTGATCTACCTTGAATCTCGATGTATATTTAAATGAGAAACTTTTGAAATTAAATTTTGAGCCATCTGAACTCTGATTTTAGCGAACTTATGGTCAAACTGAATGTCATAATTAGATGAACCCATCAATACCAATAGTGATCTGATCTAACTCCAATGAGCCCAAATCAAGCACTTAAAGTGTAAATGAAACTTTGGGACATTTATTAGAGGACCAAACGTTTGGCAAATCTCTCATTCTTATAGTCAAATTTGAGCATTTCAACAAGATGAATACATGAAATCCTCTAATTTCATCATCATTAGGGCACTTAAATGTTGAAAGAATGATATATAATCGAGGAAATCTATAAGAGTTCTATAATAGAGTGTTCTAAATTTTGCCTATATTTTTGGGGCATGCCACTAAAAAATTTTATAAATAGGTCCCCACTATCTACATAAAGGGGCTTGAATCCTTAGCTTGAGATTTAATTGAACTAGAAGGCTTGAAAAATCTTGGAGCGTCACTCAAGTAACACTCCAGACCAACACCATCAGACCACTGCCATTTGCCTCCTATTGTTAGCCATCACAATCTAAACACCGTCGTACCACCTCCCCCCTGTTGTTAGCCATCATAGTCTAACTACCATCATTCGAGAACTGTCATTGGACCATCGATTGACCGTCATCATCTGACCAACCACCATTGCTTGATAATGATCCTCCGTCCACCATTTTCCTATTACAATCCTTCGACCACTATCACTTGATTACTATCCTATGACCATCATTACTTGATTATGGTCCTATGACAATTGTCACCCAACTACAGTCCTCCGACCATCTTTGCACAAATATGATCCTCCAGCCACCTTAGCACTATTATAATCCTTCAACCACTGTTGCTCAAGTGTAGTCCCTTGAACATCGTCTTCCGACTATGATCCTCCAACTACCATTGACCTACTATGATCCTCTGACCACCGTCGCTCAACTGTAAGCTTCCAACTACCATTGCTTAACTACGGTCTCCTGAACACCATCACCTAGTTTATTGTCCTCAAACCATCATCATTCGATTATGGCTCTCTGACTACTGTTACTTAACTAAGGTCCTTCAATCCCAATGATCCTAATATGGTCCTCCGATTACCATCAACTAATTTTGCTTCTCAACCATTGCTACTTTATTATGGTCCTAGAACCACAGTCGCTTGACCATCGTCCTTTGATTATTATTGTTAGACTATAATCCTAGCCACCATCACCCAATTATGGTCATCTGGCCAATGTTTCCCACCACTGTCCTCCGACCATTATTACCCAACTATACTCATTTGATCATCATTCGATTATGATCCTCCAACCACTGTTATCTGATTATTATCCTTCGAGCACCATCGCTTGATTATATTATTATGACCATAGTCGCTCGATAATGGTCTCTTAACCATCATCATCATATTATAGTCCTCCTACTACCTTTTCCCAACTGTAGTTCTCTGACCATTGTCGCTTAAAAATAGTTCTCCAACCACCTTGTGACACAACCCGACCCCTTCGCGGCCCCTTTCTTTATTTCGGATTGTCGAGGAGAGTTTTAAGGAGTAAGTTGCAAAGATTCCGCTCTCATTTTGCGAGGACTTTATGATCTGAGTTCAGGTTTCCTATAGGCACAAACTTATAGTTAATTCTATAGCGAGAGAGAACTTTTGATTAAGGCTTGTCGTCAAACAGATATACAGTATCCGACATATGGTAGCAGCGTGATTTGGGCATTCAAAATTTAAGATTTAAAATTAGAAATTCACTACCTTGCACTTAAAGAGGATGGTGGGGGAAATGATGATGAACCTGATCAAGATCCCATGGTTCATTACTTCAGTTGTCCCGGGTCATCATGGATTCATGGTCCATAGTCTACTTAGTCAGAGGAGATAATCGACCTAAACGTGACAGAAGGATCCTTGTTGGCAGCCATGAGGTGCTTCGTCCAAGGGTATCTTGTAGATTTAGAATGGATGTTTGCTTAAGGAGATAAATTTGAAGCCACCTTAGCTAATAGAGGGCTTTATGCCCTATCGATGATATCTTATTGATTCATTACTCAATGATTTAACATCGTTGGGGAATATACGGGATATGACTATGACCATAATTTAATGGTGTTATTTGACAGCTAAACCACTTGGTTAGAGGATCCTGATCATCACTATTTACCTATGGTGCCATTTGGCGGCGAGATCACTAATTAGAGGACATGTTTTACGTCCTTCTTGGCAAGAGACAATTTGAGAATGAATCCTAATGATATTCTCGACCAGACATTCATTCTTTATGAGCTGAAGTGATTTTCAGATTTATTTATCTCGTCAAACTATTATGGAGGGTTAGTGAGTGTTTTGCTTTTAGTTTTTTGGTGTTTTTATTTCAATTTTAAATATTTTAAGTTTTGATAACTTCTGAGTTTTGAATTTTTTTTATGAATTTGGGAGGCATTTAAAATATTTATAGTTCCCTCTGGTTGAGATTTTTTGTCAACACGGTCATCATTTGGGTACTTATGGTCCTTATGGATAATTTCAATTTTGTTGGTCGAACCTTGTCGGCTCTGTCTACTTAATAACATAAGTGAAATAGAACATGCATCACAAAGTAACATTATTTTTTTTTCTCTCTCTTTCAACCCTCTTTTATCCTATGTACTAGATATTTATATAATACTTAGATGTTAATCTCTGTCAATGCCATTGACACGCAACAAAGTAACATTAAAAAAAAAAAAAACATTGTGACCAAGTTTAGTCTTAGAGAAATGTTTCAAAATTGTTTGAATGTGCATGTGCGCATTCTTCATTTGTATGATGTTTTTTCCCTTTATATATGTTTTTGAAATGAACTCCGCTTATGTACTTTCATTTCCTTTCCAACAGAGCACGACAACGTCCCCTCCAAACGCTTCAATATCACGCATGTAAATGTTTCTGCTCACCTGCTTGCTTGCCCTTCAAGCCATCTTGTCCAATGCAAAAGAAACACACCATGATCATCATGGCTAATTCACAGAGATAATTTTTTATACTCTAATATATCTTTCGTAATTCTATTACTTGAATCCATGTGGTTTGAACTGGTAGGAATTATGGAAATTTTGTGTGAGTGAAGCTTATAAACTGTTTCTTTCAGTATTTTCTCTGAAATAAATTCTTAAGGTGGTGAGAAGCTTCTGGAATGTTATCACACCTGCATTGCCACCATATTATGCTGTCACTCAAAAAGGCATTGTTGTGAAATGTTCCATCTAACCAAAGATGGGATTATCTTATTAGTTACAATATTCAACCATAGTAGGAGTGTCACGGTTCAGCCCGAATATTCAAATTAATGAGACGGAAATATATTTCTTTCAAATACATAACTAGTTAACAACTAACATCGCATATAAAACTGAAGAGTCACTAACTGTTTACAGAGGCTACTAAGATTTATAGGAGCTTAAGAATGAAGATTACCAAACTCTGTGGAAGGCACCACCTCAGGTCAGATCTATGTTTTAGTGGCTCTCAAGCCTCGCTCTTGAACTTTATGTAGCCATAGTAAAAGGCTATTAGGACTTCGTTTGGGATGATTTTCTTTCTAGTTCTTAAAGTAGATTTTTAGTATAATTTTTTTACATTAAAAAATTACTTTAAGAAGTAAAAAATAAGTCATCCTAAATGAAACCTAAGATTTATAGGAGCCCTTGAGAATATAGGTGACCCGAGCGCAATGGAAGCCACCACCTCATGTCAAATCTACCTTTTAATGGCCCCCAAAACTCCTTGGGAATCCCAAATTTAAGGGTTCCATAGTATTTCCTCATGCTTGCATGCCCCCTTATCTAGAAATCAGTATGGTCGCATATACTTCCCATTGAGTTAAATTAATATGAACCCTCTTATCATAAAGAATTGATGTAGAACCAGAATATTGTGATAAAAATCTAATTTTTTTATGGTATAACTTTGATTGATTACTATGATGATATTTTGAGGAACTTTGCAAGTGGAGTCATCATGATGTAAGGAGTTAAT